AAAAAAAAACGTTTCTCCAGATGTATTTGAGGTTCTTTTAACGTAAGGTTATTTAATTTTATTTAATTAATTGAATGATCATAATAATTTAAATTACTTTATTTTGTTTTATAGATATATTTACAATGGAACCCTTAATCTAGATAATCCAGATGGAAATAAAATTTTTGAACTTCTTGAAGCATGTGATGAATTAAACTTTAATGAATTAATTAATGATTTACAAAACTATTTGATTAATGAAAAAAAAGAATGGATTCAACAGAATTTAATTTATGCTCATAAAATTTCATTTCATCATCAATCATTTAACTTGCTTCAAGATTATTGTTGTGAGGTGATCAGTAAACACCCAGAATTATTTTTTAAATCCAATGACATTACAACAATTGAAAAATCCATGCTTATAACTATGTTAAAAAGAGATGACTTGGAATTAGATGAAATTGATATTTGGGATATTGTCATTAAATGGGGAATAAATCAAAATAAAAAATTAGACAAAGACATTTCAGAATGGAAGAAAGAGGATTTCATTATGTTAAAAAATAAAATAGAAGATATTATTCCTTTGATAAGATTCAACCAAATTTCTTCAAATGACTTTTCTGATAAAATTCTACCATTTAAAAAGGTCTTTGATAAAAAAGTATATGAGGAAATTCTTCTATACTATATTAGTGATAAATGGAAGCCAAAACTATTGCTTCAAAAAGGTCCAAGATCAAAAACAAAATTTGGAACAGACATAAAATCACAAACTGGAAAATTATTAAATTTACAAACAAAATCTCTAATTTCAAGTTGGATTGATTACAAAAATGATCTATATAATGAAAACAATATACCTTATAAATTGGAATTAATTCTTCAGGGTACTCAAAATGGATTCTCTAGGTCTGTATTTGAGGATAAATGCTATAATATTAAACAAACTGTGACCATTATGAAAATTAAAGATACAGGAGAATTGGTTGGTGGTTATAATCCAGTTAGTTGGAATATAAAAGTAATGTCACCAAATGATTGGTATTGGATTGAAACAGACAAAAGTTTTATTTTTAAAATTGATGAAAATCAGATAAATAATTCAATATTAAGTAGGGTTATAAAACCACAATATGCAATATACCATAGTAAACAAAAGATAAGTGTAACTAGAGATAATATAAAATTACATGAAAGTACTATGCATTTTTGTGATTTATCTCTATATAATAGTATTAATAATGAACCTTATTGTTATTATTATGGTAAAAATCCTACTTATGAAAATGATTTAAATTTTAGAAATAAAAATAGAAAAATTCATTTGATAGGAGAATGTGAAGTTTATAGGATAACAAAAAAAGAATTAATTTAGAATAATTTACATGTTATTAATTTATATACACATATTCATTAATAAAAATATTATTACTGTCTTTAACCACAATTTCTGCGCCATACTGCTAAATTTCATTCAAATTATAAAAATCACTTTGGCTATTTTTAGTTGAGAATTTTTCTGACACTACAATAAACTTTACAGCTACTGAATAAAAAGAATAAAACAGAAAATTTCTTTTAAACATCACATGCAAGAATGGTGGTTAAAGACTTTGTGTACCATATTAATATTTTTATTAATATAATAAATATTAAAAAAAAAAAATCGTCAACTTTGCTTTTCATTTACACATCTATAATTGCAACACGCTTTTTATTATTATTAAATATTCTATATTACTATTATTATTATTTACGGCTATTTACGATAACAATTATATAATACTGTTTCCATGCTATTTCCGTATATAAAATACTGTATTCGTATTCGTACTGATAATCGTATTAAGACACCTATTCCATACCTTTTATACATGTGGTTTACTGTTTTGAGTCCTGTATGCTTCATACTGTTTATAATAATAATAATAACGTATTAGTATTAGTATTAGTATTAGTATTAGTATTAGTATTAGTATAAGAATTAGTATTAGTATACCTTTTCCGTATGTTATTCTTCATAGCATCAAACTTCTGACATTTTAAATAAATTTAATAACCAACTTTTATTAGTCAAGAAAGCAAAAGCAGAAAAAAAAGTGAACAAAAATTTAAATGAGAAAATTTGAGTGAAAACTCTCAAACAAAACCAAGCCTGAAGAAGGACAACCAATATCAAAATAATAATTAACAAAAAGACAGATCAGTTCAACAATTAACCGGTGAAAAAATCAAATATGAAAATTCAGTTAGTGAAAACCAAAACTTGTGCTAACAATTGAACGAAATAAAAAACTTAAAGCAAGAAATTGAAAATGTAAAAAAGATCATTAAGCCAAATGAAGTGTGAAGAAACAGGAAATTTAAGCAACTAATAGCAGGCAAAAATATGAAAGTCAAAAGGAGATAACAATATCTCGGAAATAAAAGAAATATTATTGGCCAACTAGAAAATCAAATCGTAAATAAAAATTTTTGTAGTATAATTTGGAAAGTGATTACGAAAATCAACAAAAGCTAAAAGAGGCGAGCAAGCAATCAATCAATCTGCTGTTTAAAGAATGACATCGTTGACCTGAAAAATCAATGAACTTGAAAAAAGGAAACCAAAAAGTGAAAGACTATATTCAGAAGCTCTTTCATCACATCTCCGCCGGCACTTAAAGCTTATTCGTATCTAGCTCATCTCTCAAATGATGATCCTACATCTCCCCCACCCTAACATGATTCCAGAACGCACCAGGCAAGGTTTAAAAATATTTTTAGTATAGAATGTCATGAGTTGCAAAACACAGCCAAACAATTAGAAAACAGGAGCCCGAAAATAACTAAAAAAGAAAAGGGAAGCCCAAATCTCAGCCAGGCGAACAAATCAACTCGAATAAATCCAGAACAAGCAAGTTAAGGCCAAAATAAAAATGAGATTTTAAGCTTAGAATGAATTTATATCGTTGAAAAAGATGTCGAGTAATTAAAAAATTGAAAATAAATTCTGGTCCTTTGAATCTTTTTAATAATAATGATGATAGTAATAGTAATAATAAGCATATTTGGTCTTCCGCTAAAACCCAAATTCGCTAAATCAAGGTCCGCTAAATCGAGTCTAGTTTCATGTAAATTGATTGGTTGGATTCACGAAAATGTTAATATATATTAATCTAAAAAAAAAAATAAAAATCTAAAAAATCTAAAAAAAAAAAAGTTTTATATTTGTAAATCAAGCACACAAAAGAAAAAAATGTATAAATTTAATTTTTTAAACAATTCAAAAAATTCAACATTAAATTCATTAAATTCATATAAAATTACAAACATAATATCGATTAATTCAAAAATTTCAAATATAACAGTAACAACGCCACCATCATTGTCATTATTAAAATATTTTCAAAATAATTCATCATTAATAAAATTAACTTCAAAACCTACATCTACACAATCAATACCGAGGATTTCCTTTTTAGATTATTCAAATCGTCATTCTAAACATCTTTTTTCTTTAAAGAATAATCCATACATTAAAAGTTTATTGCTTTCTAATACTCAATTATATAGTACAAATGCAAGGCATGTTGACGATTTTTTTTTACAAGAAAATCATAAACATCAATCAGATTCATTTGGAGTCAACCCTGATTTCAATGGAGATTTATATGTTGGTAATAAAGACTTTATCATATCTTCTCCTCCTACTCCTCCTACTTTACAAGATTTACAATATGATATTGAAGATTTTATGGATTACACAGAGATTGAAAATAGTAACAATGATGATAATAATATAAAAACGTCAAAATCTAATAATGATTTATTATTAAAATCTGAAGGTGTGAATGGATCAGGAGAGATCGAACCATTATATATATCAAATAAAACACTCACTCTGGGTTCTGATGGGAAACCAATAATTGATGTGGAGAACAAAGATATTGAGGAAATTTGGGTGAATTACAAGAAACTCAGTATTGAGCAGATTTTAAGTTTAACTGTTTACGATTATAATCACCTGCTTGCTTCATTTCTAAAACATTTATCAAAAAATTCTAGTCTAATCAACAGGATGCAATCCATAATTAACGAAATGGAATTCTCAAAAGCTACTGAACCAGATGTGTCAACTTATAATATTATAATGACAGCATATATTGAAATTGGGGATTTCCTGACAATGGAAAGATTTTTTTTTTGCAGTATTTAAATCCGACACCAACAATATTCGACCAAACACCATAAGTTACAATATTTTGTTGTCGGGTTTACTAAATCAAAAACAAAAAAGGTTTGATTACTCTTCATCTGTACACAAGGCAGCTCGTTTATTTTCTGTGATGGTGGAAAATAATGTTGAGAGAGATCATAAAACATACACATTATTGATTAAAGCATCGGGAGAATTAAAGAGTTATGATATGGCTTTACAACATTTTAATAATATGATAAAAGAAGGATTGGCGCCTGATGTAAGAGTGTATAATTCCTTATTAAATGTGATTGCTAAAACACAAAATGAACCAGCGACAGCCATGGAGAAGTATAATGAAATGAAATCTAAAGGTCTACAACCTACAATTGTTACATATAATATATTAATAGGATTCATGAAAAAAAAAAAACAAAACCATTTGGCATTAGAATTATTTGAACAAATGCAAAAAGAAAGTATTGTGCCTGACGCAAAGATATTAGAATCTGTAGACATTACAGGTTTAAAGGCTGCCAAAGTCTTACAAGAGGAATATAACGTTATACCTAATATAAGAGACTATAATTTAATGTTATCGACAGAATTGAAAAGATCGGATTATGACGATGCATTAGAAATTCATAAACATATGCTTAACAACAAAGTCAAGCCAAATTTATCGACCTACGCAATAATAATTGAAGATTATGTAAGAAGTAAAGAAACAACAAATGCATTTGATATATTCAATGCTATGTTGAAAGATAATTTGGAAACTGACATTGGAATTTACACAGTGTTAGTAAATGCATATTTAGAACAGAATAATTTAGATATGGCATTCAATTTGTTAGATCAAATGAAGAGTGGCGTGGCTGAGTTTAAGATTGGAACACTAGAATCAATTATCACTACAGCTGCTGAAAATAGCAACGAGGAATTTGTTGAAAAGATTTTTAGTTACTTGAAAAGTTTGGGTGTTATAATTGACAAGAGCATTTATTATATTCTATTGAATAGGCTGGCAAAATCGCCATGGCCAAGATATAAATTAGAATATTATATACGTGAAATGGAAGAGAATGAAGTACCCGTAATAAGAGCTGTATTTTTTAATATAATTAGCGGATGTTGTGATGTGAAAAATATCAACGAGGCAGAATATTGGTATAATAAAATGATAAATGTATATCAATTAATACCAAATCCAAAAATTTTAACAACATTGATGTATACCTTCATAGATAATAGAGATTTATACAATGGTATAAACTACTTTAAGGAATATTTTAGGTGGAAAGCTCAACTTCTTGAATATGAAGTTATGAATTTGTTGGATTTATGTGAGAGATTAGGTGCTCGGAAAGCTTTAAATTATATAATAAATCTGCTAGGTGAAAATGGGTATCAGGAATATGTACATAAATATGAGATTAGAAGACAATTGATTGACAATAAAATGGAAACAATCAATTGGTTAAATAGACATGTATCATCAGCATCAAATAGAAATTTAAAATTATTTATTAACAAAGAGAAGTATGCTGTAAAAAAAAATATTATTTATAAGAAATTAGATCATAATGCTGCTATTAGAATAAAAAATTGGAAACCTTATAGTGAAAATAATAAACAATAATTTGGATACAATTTCTTTCGTTACTTATTTTTACTTCCCTTCCTTCTTTCCCACAAAGAAACACATGACAATATTATTTTTGATGAATAAATTATTTGGTCTCAACCAAACTTTTCCCCAAGTAAATCACATCACAATAAATCATCGTCATATTAATGATTAAATAAATAATTATTACTGTTACTACTATAATTATTAACTAAATAATCTTTTTATATTATTAATATTACTTGTGTGATTTTTTAACATGCTTTTCTTTTTTGCTATCACAATAACATTAGTCCGCTTTACAACCCAATCCTTCGCCCACCATATCTGCTTTCCGGTGTCAATGAGCTAATAATGGTATTAATATAAAAGGTAAAAAATTATAATTAATATAATTAATCAATACGATAAATCAATTACTCAACTATTTAGATGAAAGGCAACAAACAATTCATAAACTAGAGGTGCTCCTCAATCTCGGGTCGGCATTTTACTCCTGTCCTTCTACAACCTGTTACTCTTCCTTGGTAATACGATCACGTGACTGGTGGTGATTTTAGAAAGAGTGCTTTTAATCATGAATGATTGTAATAACGAATCGTTGTTTAGAGATACAAAATCATAATAGGAGTAAGGAAAATACTAAATAATCGTCAAACTCCAAAAGAAAAATATTAAAGAATTTCTTCATTATTGCAATTTCTGCAACTTCTACAAACAAAAGGAGTTGCCAAAAGATCCTCTCCACTGGTGGTGACAACGTTGAAAAAATATAATAAATAACCACGATCATTATGTAATTAAATATTTATTCAGTTAAACGGTAAACAAAAAAAAAAATACATAAATTATAAAAATTTTTCTTTTATCATCACCACTAACATCAACATCACTAATATCAACATTATCACTACTAATAACATTTGCTACCATTATAATACCTGATATCATCTCCATTACAATCCCTGATATTATCATCACTACCTTCATTTCTCATTTCATATGCATTGGCATAAATACTGAAGCATTAGTGTCAAAATTGTATTTAATTAAACTATTTGGTTGAATTTTTTTTTATCGGATGAATCATCATCATCATCATCATCCGTTGATATAGTAGCCAATTTATTAAGTGGGCGACTTGTATAGAATGCATTTAAATGGTGTTTATTGCTTTTTGCTTCTGAAAGATATTTTTCTGATTTAATGATCTCTTGACGTTTTGATTCAGCTGATTCAATGACTTTTTCTTTTTCTTCAGAAAGCTTAATAGAATAGAAACAAAAAAGGATTTCCCAGGCAGTTGGTCTATTTTTTGGATTTGAATCCCAACATTTTTCCATCAATTCAGCATAGAATTCAGGAGTGTCTTTGGTGACTTTAGGTCTCACTCCTCCAAGAATATCCGTTATTAGATGATCATGTGGTACATTATAAAAAGGTTTTTTGCCTGTGGTGAATTCCCACATAATCATCCCAAAGCTGTAAATGTCTGATTCTTTTGTATATTGTTTACCTGATAATACTTCAGGTGCCAGGTATTGAACGACTCCAAATATCTTATTTGGATTCTCATCTTTATCTATCATTTGTTGACATAATCCTAAATCTCCTATTACACTACGATTATAGTTGTATGAAAAAATGTTACCACTATGCAAGTCATGATGAATATAATTCTTTTCATGAATTATCCATAATCTAATTTATTTAATAATAATAAAATGTAAATTTAATTTCATAAGAAAAAATTTAATTTAATAATAAAATCAAAACTTGCCCATTTGAAAGATTAGTAAGTGATTGCATTTTGTTTTCCCAAGTAATTTCCTTGAAATTTTTTGATAAATTATTATGTAAATCTCCATATGGGGCATAATCAAATACCAATGTATATTCATCTCTGCTTGGATCTTTTGTGATCCCAAGGCATTTGTTGGTAAAACGACCATATAATTCATGATTTGCTTTTAACTGAATAAAATATAAATAAATATCAAAACAACATTTATAAAAGTTGATATTAAAAGGCTTTACCTCTTTTAAAATACCCGTAATTTTATCATTTGATTTATATAATCTTTTTAATACCACATTTATTTCAGATTGATCATTAAAAGGTAGATAATGGCTAACCCAAATTGCTTTATGAACTTCACCAAACCCACCTATAGCTAAATATTCAACATTTTTGAATTCATTAAAAGGAATCCATTCAATATAATGAATATCCTCAGGTCTATTTATTTTTTTACATTCATAAAGAAACTTGGCTATTTCTTTATTTCCACAATCAGCCTCTAAGTTTTCAATTTCCTTTTCTTTACAACCATTGCATAATACAACTTTATTCAATCCAACATCTGTGTAAATTAAATTTTGATATGATTTTCTAATTAATTTTATGCTTTCTTCTTCCTCATTTTCTTTTAATCTATTTGAAAGTTCATTTAATGCATCAATTGATTTATTCAAATACTTCATAAGATCATAATCATCTTTTATCCAATTTTTTTTACAATTGGTACAATTTTCTATTAATTTTAATGTTCCAAGTAATTCATTTAAAATATTATGAATCCTAATTTGCCCACCATATTCATCTGGAATTGGTTTACATAATAAGCCATATTTCGGATAAATTGATTCAACCAATAGTTTCAATTCATTTGCCAATTCACTTGGAAGTTTAATTATCTCCGTCATCTTTTCAGAAGTGAAATATAAATGTATCAAGATTTTTTTCAAATGATTCACAATTTATCACACGTGATTATAAAAAATCAAATTCTCCCTTATACATTATTTTATGGCCTAATTTTTTGTTAATAATACTACTGTTACAACATCACCAATTATACTGATAATTACAATAATGAAAATGATCAAACTAAAGATTTTGGATTTGTAGATAGGTAATTATAATAATATATTAATGTTTATAATTTAATATGTTCATTAATTCAATCAAATAATTAGTTATTATTATCATGACTGTTTAGATTCAATTGAAAGTTGAGATATTTCCACCAATGGAAGTTATCCAGATGAATGGACAAAACTTAATCAATTATAGCGATAACACCTAGTTTTTGGTTGCGTCTCTCTTCATTACTGGAAGCCTTTACAAAATCTGTGTGTGGCAATGGAAAGAAATTTATATTAACATCGCACCATTACAAGTTAGTTGGTAAGAATGAGTAAAATTCTAAGTTTAAGGAAATCGGAAACTGAAACAAAGTTTAAAATTCTAAACTTTTCCAAAACCTCCGAAACCAAAACAATTTATCGGCTGAAATTTTTTTAAATGTTGCAAAAATTATATCACCGAATAGACTATAGTAGACTCCTCTTCTGAAATCATTTCGGAGAGTCTCGGATCGTTATTTTCTATAGAAGCAAAAACAAAGACATCAAATAGATAATGATCAATGTAAAATGGAAACCAGACAAATCCTTAGACCTATGGATGTTTACTATCATATGAATCAGCTTTGTCGAAAAAAAATCCATGTCTTATAAATTTTTTGCATTTTAACTTATTGGATGACGGGCTTCTTTTCTATAAATTAGGAATTTGTTGGTCCATAAAAAAGTCAATTTAAAGTTTTCGAAAACATCAAGTGTAGTGCTACTGTTGAAGTAGTAACAATGATAACTTTGATGCATTTAATGTAAGTGCTAATGATAATGATGACGGTTCTGTTGCAAATGGATAATAATGATGGAAAACATCTGTCAGGTCAATCAATTCACTCATTCATTCCAGGTTGGCTGTGTCATATACCTTGGGTAAATTTTTTACTAGTATCTTTGTTACTATTAAGTTGGATCAGGCGCAATATCAGAAAAATTAAAATTGTAAGTTTATACTATGTTAGTAATAGTAAGTTTCACACCAACTTAATTTCCGGATGTTTTTCTTGATCTGCCGAAAGGACTCACTCCTGAAGGTATAACAGAATTTCCAGCATTTGTACGAAAATCATAAGAAAAGATATTAATTGCTTCCACGAGATAAAAGTACACAAAAAACTGATCAGGGGTAAAGGGGAAAAATAAAAATTACTTTAAATTATTGTATTAATGATAATGGTGCAAAATAAAATAATAATGCTTTGCTCTACTGTTAAAGTCTTGCATTAATGTTTCAAAATTGCATAACTATATAGGAGAAGGTGTAGTAGTATCTTTAACACAATGCTCCATACATCACACATCTGTTATTTTATTTTTATTTTTGACTTGGCTTTCATTTTCCTCGTCCGAATTTTCCAGCTTTCTTTTCTGATGGAAAATGAAGCAGATGCAAGTACCAAGTTAAAAATTGGATAAAACAAATAAGAGAGTGCAAAGAAGAAATTTCTCTCTCAAACATAACCATTCTAGTTTATCTGACCAACTATCCTCCCAAAAGACGCAAGTGATAAGCTTACTTTGTTGATTTTGCGAGTTGTTAAAAATTCGAAGCATCTTATTTTCTGTTTCTTCCAATTCCTTGAGTCGTTTATTAAATACTATATAGTAACCTTGGATCTGTTCATAATTATTTGTCTTGTTTTCGAGATCGCTATCTCTTTCTATCGCTTTGATGTCCATATATACATACAGTATATTTACAAGAAAGTTACTTAACTGGCCCAACCTAATTTTGATAAAGAACATTTTTGGAAATATCTTAATAAATGAATGAATAATTAGACGGATTAACTGATTCATTACATTTGGTAGTTTTGTAACTAATATTTATCATCAACATTGTTTACTCTTGGGAACGAATATGATGATAATAACGTTAAAAATATACGTGATAATGATAGTACAGATGAAGATGTCGAAGATTGTGAAGAAGGAAATATTTTTTTTAATGAGAAATAATCCTTTATTTAAAATTGAGTTTTCATCGGGTCTTACTTTCAAAGCATATTTTTTTAGAGACAAATAATACTCTGGACAAAGTAGTAGTATATTCTTTTACTTTTTTAAAGGTGGGGTGTACTTGATAAATTATT